GATGGGGGGGCGGGGGGCTGGGGCGTTTGCAGCAGCCAGATGTTCTCCTTGCCTCCCGGGGGCGAGAGACTCCTCTCCGAGGCCCCAGGGGCTGTCACGGCAGAGCCAGCTGCGCGGAGCGGCCCGGGCTGCGGTGGGCAGTGCAGACGTCTGAAGTGCCTTCGTGTTTCTGGCATCCCTTTGGGGCACGGACCCTGCCCGGGCCTGCGGGCAGACGTCGAGGAGCACGGTGTTGGCCCTTCGCACCGCCTGGATTACAGTGATGCCATTAACTATATTCCCAAACGGCCTGCTGGCCTCATTCTGCCCAATCTCCCATTACAGACAAATTCCATTATATCCGAGGCTAAATAGATTCCTCATTTGGCATGCTTTTTTTTTTTTTTTTTTTTTAACTTACTTAAAGCCCATTGCAGAGCCTCAGCCCCTTGATGAGCCTGCGATATGCTGGCCTAATGCACACTTAGCATCAACCTTTAGAAGTGCAAGGGAGCATGGCAAGTCCCCGCAGGTGACAGCGGGATCAGCGGTGTGAGCCAGCTCTCAGGATCACTTGCCAATGTCCCCGCTAGCCTGCCTGGAGTAGAGGTGACAGCAGAAAGGCCAGGACATCTGCAGAACAGCTGGCATTTTCAGCGCGCTGACGTGAGAGCTTCCGTGATTTCTGGGTAGACTGAGCTGCAGCGGGAATGCGATCTCAGCTGGAGCATAACTCAGAAATTTCTCCTGCACTTACAAACTCTCCAGTAAACAGAGTTTTTCCAGTTGCTCCGTTTCTTGGATCACCATACTGATAGTAGGAGGCATCAGCCAAAGGTCACCGGTTTCCATGCAGCTCTTCTTTTTTGGTCTCTCTGGGCTTTGGTGTGAATCAAAAGAGCAGAAATCCTTTATTTCCAGATCAAAACAGGTTCAACCAAAGAAGGTTTGTTAGGCGTGCTAGGTAGCGGCATAAGTTGGCTGTGTGAGTGGATTTCTGAAAGATTGGCTTCTTCCTGGGAAGGGAAGTGTGATTTCTTTTTTTTTTTTTTTGGAAGTTTTAGTATCATTTACTTTTCAGTCTAATCTGGGTGTTAAATGACATAAGCTGGGAATTTACTACATGACCTTGTTCGTTGTATATCATTTAATAAAGCCTTTTTAGCATAGGTGACCTATGTGTATGTAGAGTGGGTGGGAAGGAGCGTGCCTTAACGCTGTTGACTTGGCTTTTTGATAGTGAATTACAACACTTCTCTGCTGTTTAAATACATGCTTAGCAAACCCACCCATGGAAACTGGCTGGGTGCGTTAGCTCTGCCTGGGTGAGACTCCTGCAGCCAAGGCAGAGGGGATGCAGCGGTGACCGAGGCCCTTCCCCTGGCAGGCTGCACCCCGGTGAGGTGTGCTTACCGTGCTGGGGTGGTGGGAGCGGATGTGGTGCGAGCGGTGACTCGGCATCAGACTCAGCACCCCCCCCCGGGACCGCAGGCGTGGGGTTGTTTCAGACGCCTTGCGGACTGGCTGTCACACGCCGACAGCCTGGCTCTTGCTGGCTTCACGCTCAACGCCGAGTGGGGATGGTGGAGTCAGCAGAGCTGACTTGGTGCAGAGCTCAGGTTGGGGGAAAGCTCCTCAGCAGCCGGCGGGACACAGACACCCCAAGCTGTCTGCCCCTCCTTCGGGGCCATCCCACATTGGGGCTGGCCCACAGCTGGGTAGCAAGCACCAGCTGACCTCTCGCTGCAGGTGGGCTTCACTCAGCAAGCTTCATCCAATGTATGGAGGGGTTGCACTGTTTATAGAGCTGTTTCGGCTCTGCCTGAGGGCAGCTGTGTCTCCGGGAGCCCCTTTGGCAATCCCGCATGCACCATGGGTTACGTACCCTTTACAAATCGATCTGCCATTGGTAAACTGGCAATCCGATCATCTGCTGGAATGCAGCCATGAAATAATCCTAGCCACTGATGCTGCACTGGCTTTCCCCAACAGCTGGCATTTAATGATTGCTCCTAAAAGGTCAGGAAAGCCATCAGAAGCTCCAATTAGCTGTGACTGGCCTGGGGGACAGAGTGATACAGATGCTTTTTGAATAGGACGAAGGAACAAGGAGAAAACATTTTTCCTAGTCACTTCTCTGTTAATGTCACCTCACTGCCATCCAGCAGTGCTTTGCCCTTCTGTTGAAGTCCATCAAGCACCAAAAGCTGGGTTTCAGCTGGGTCAGTGTGCTATGGAGAATCAGGCCTCTTCTCTTCCCTCTCAGTGGCGGCCACCATCACAGCACCTTCCTTTGGGGGCAAGAAGCTTCACAGAGAAAGGACTGCCAGTCCTCACATCTGCCTGTCACCCGTTCCTTCTCCTTCCACACCCACCCTTCTTCAGACCAGGCTCCCTTTTTGTACAACCTTTGCCTTTGTCATCCGTACACCAGTGCCTCCCAGGAAATAGAGCTTCCCTGCCTTTGGTGCCTTTCATCCTCCTGCTTCATGCTGGAGAATGGCCAGCCACTGCCATCTCCACCCTTTCCTGACTCTCATTCTGAAACAGTTACTCTCTTCTCAGACCTGCTTCAAGTGCGTTCGAAGAAGCCTTTGCTGACACATTTGCTGCAGTACAGTGTGAGTCATTTTGTTCCTCTCTAGTTCTCAGCATTTCACAGATCTCTCTCTTCTCCTCTTCTCCATCTCACAGACTTCTCCATTTTGCAGGTTCTTCTGCAGGCCCTTCCTCAGATGTCTTCTGGAAGGGGAAGGACCAGAGGGAGGAACACTAGATACAAAGCTGGATAGAAAGCTTTCAGGGAGAGAGGGGCTTGTGCGGACTGAGGCAGACAGAGGAGAAGGGAGCAGCCTGGTGCAAGAGAAGGAGCTGAGATGTTTGATCTGGGGAGCACTGTCTGGCCCTTCACAAAGGAGGAGCTGTTTGGGATCACAGCACTGTTTGGCTGAGGGATGTTGTGGCACAAGATACTGCACTGCAGTTGGCTTCTGTGCAGGATGTCATCACAGGATCCTTTTGACTCTGCTGTGGTGCAAGGTCACCTTTGCCCTGAGGCATCCTCTTGGTCCTCACCTCTGACATCATTGCCATGCATCCATCTGCCTCATGCTTCTTTTAGGTGGCCTGCAGTGTCTAACTGCCCAGCTGTGCACTGCAGCCCTGTTATGTCCAGTTAGCCCCAGTAAGGACCAGCATAGGTCTGTATGCCCTGGGAGATGCTCACCAAGCCTGGGTGCTCCTGTTGAACCCAGGACTCAAGAGGCAGCCTCCTTCGTAGTGTCTCCTCTGTCTCTTTCAGACTGGTGGGGCTGGGAAGAGAACCACTGGGACTTCGAGGCAATAACCATACACGTGGGATCCTGACAGCTGAGAGCGCTGGTCCTGAAGTTGGGGTAGGAAACAGCAAATGGGAAACTTTGGTCTGGGAAAGCTCTGCAGAGCTAATAGGACTGGGCATCCTGCCTTCTGCTCAAGGCCGGTTCTTTTAGATCATATCTGCTTAGGCTCAGTGTGATCTGAACAGGCCTGACCCATCCCATCAGTTAATGGATGTTTGGAAGGAGTTCAGCTGGAGAGTAATTGGAAAAGGTAGAAAAAAACTCAAATACACTTAGAGTGTATTCATCTGTAAAGCATTTATCGTTAAAGAGTCATAAGAACAGGCATCCTGGATGACCAAGGGATGGTCTGGCCCAGTATCGCATCTCTGACAGTGGCTAGAAGAAGATGCCAGGAGAAGAGTAGAAAAACAATACAAGTATGTGTGTTTCTTTCCTCCAGCACTCCCCCCACTCTCCACTCTCCCCCAGCCTCCAGCTGTGTTCAGCTCTGGAGACAGTTGTGGTTTCTGTGCACTGAATCATTCTCAAGGGGTTTCTCTTCCATGGACTTGTCCTGGAACCTGCACAGACTCTCAGCATCCACAACATCGTGTGGCAAGGAATTCCCCAGTTCAACTTCAGACGGTGTGAAGAACCATCATTTTCCTTTGCTTTAAGCCCAGCTCCTGCCAGCTTCATCTATCTCTTTTATTGGAAAAGACAGTAAACAATCAATTCCTGTCCATCCTCTTCAACAGCACTCTGAATTAACACCACGTTATTATCTGCTTATTACACGTGGTACCTAGAGACCTCTTTGTACTGGGCAGTGTATAAAGATAAGGCTGAATAATAGTTGGTTTGCTGCAGTGCTTCTGGTCCAAGCAGAGGAGGCAAGCAAAGGGCAGGGGCCAAGTGCATTACAGGAGAGCAGTGTGAGCAGAGCGTTCTTATCGCTGGCCTCTTTCTAAAATTGCCTCTTTCTTTTGCAGGCAGCCCAGCTGGAAAATGGGGTGGTGACTCCTACTCTCAAGTGATTTTCCTCATGCTTCTCCTGAAGGAGAAGTGGGTCCTGAACAGGATGCAGCAGCCAGTGGCTGGGGGTTAGAACACACGCCGTCCC